ATGTGCGTGCCAATGACCCATTGATGTATCCATGAACAGGTACATTATTTTTATATTTCAGCTGTTGTAAATAATTCCACAGTGAACACAGGGATGCATATATTCTTATGAATTAATTTTTATTTCAGAGGTGGAATTGCTGGATCATATGGTATTTCTGTTTTTAATTATTTGAGAAACCTCCATACTCTTTTTCTATAGTGGCTGCACCAATTTACAATTTCACCAACAGTGCCCAAGGGTTCTCTTTTTTTCTACATCCCCGCTAACACTTGATATTTGTTGTCTTTTTATAATAGCCATTCTGGCAAGTTTGAAATGATGTCTCAGTATAGATTTGATTTGCATTTCCATAATGATTAGCAGTGTTGAACATCTATTCATGAGTCTCTTAGTTATATATATATATATATATATATATATATATATATATATATATATATATATATATATATATATCTTCTTTAGAAAAATGTCTATTCAGACCATTTGCCCAATTTTAAATTGGGTTGTTTGTGTATATTTTTAATATTGATTGTATAAGTCCTATATACATTTCGACTCATTAGCTATATCATTGGCAAATATTGTCTCCCATTTGGTAGGTTGCCCTTTTCTTTTGTTGATGATTTTTCACTATGCAAAAGCTCTTTGTTTGATGAAATTCCTTTAGTTTATTTTTCCTTTTGTTATCCTTGTCTGCAAAGCTATATCCATGACAATATTGTTAAGACTGACATTAAATAATTGCTGCCTATATTTTCTTCATGGAGTTTTATGGTTTTATTTCTTACATTTAAGTCTTTAATCCATTTGAGTTTATGTATATAATGTAAGAAAGTGGTTTTCTTTATTTATTTTTGGATGTATCTGCCAATGTTCCTAACACTGTTTATTGAAGAGACTGTTTTTTCTCCATTGTACATTCTTGACTCCTTAGTCATAGATTAATTGACTGTATAAGCCTGGGTTTTGTTTCTGGCCTTTCAGTTCTCTTCCATTGATCCAATGTCTGCTTTTTTTGGTGGCTGTTTTATTTCTGTGTTTGTTTTTGTTTTGGCCAGTAACATACTGCATTACTGTAGTTCTGTAGTATAGTTTGAAGTCTGTGAGTTTAATAATAACTTCAGTTTTGTTCTTTTTAAGATTGCTTTGACTGTCTGAGTTCATATGAGTTTAGGATATTGGTTCTCGTTCTATGAAAAATTCATTTGGTATTTTGATAGGGATTGCATTGAATCTGAATATTGCTTTGGGTAATATGGACATTTTAATAATAATAATTCTTCTGATCTATAACCACATTGTGTACTAACACTATACTCTTGAAAAGATAACTTAACCTTTGGAGACTTCGTTTCATAATCTATAAATTTAGAATAACAATATTCTTACCTCACAGAGTTACTATGATGATTAAAGTTTAGTTAAATGCTAAAAATTACATAGAGAGTGGTTGGCATATATGTAAACATTATTGTTTTCATTTTCTTTGGCAAAAAACACCAAAAATCAGTTGACATACAATATAATCTCATTTAAATGGCAGTATTTAAAAAATTCTTATCTTTAGATGGAGTTCTATTTATAGATTTGATCAGGAACTGAAACATATGGCCATGTAGTCATAACATTGGATAGTCCACTTGCCTGATTGATCTAAACCTTTGTATATTCGTTTCTTTGCTTATGCTGCATAAAATAATCCAATAAGGAACTTTCACCCTCAATTTCTAAATTATAAATATTCTCTTAAGTGCTGTTTTGAAATTTTCATAATTACTGAAATTGATAGCATACAACAAATCATTCATAGAAGCACTGAAAACTTCAGTAAAGGTGTCAGTCATTAGCTTAATGCTTTATTGTTGTTGTCCCTTCTATGAGAAAAAATCAGAATTTATAGAACTTTTAATTTTGTAAACTATTGCCCAAAATATCTTGTCAAAAGTAAACATCTGCCAGTTGTAATTCACCACGTAAATTGAGATGTTAAGGAAACCTAGTGCAATTGATGACATTTCTGTTCATGACAAGGTCAGTGTCAATGTTACCCAACAATCGAAACCGTTCCCTTCCGGCTGTGGTGGTTAGCTGCCACTATTGTTATTTTTGTGTCTAGGGAAACTCAGAGAAGATGTGTAAGTGACTTCTTCAAGGTCATATTGGAAATCAGTGGCATTCCAAGGAATAGAACTAGAAATACACTTAATCAGATCACTTCTTTAATAGTTTTAACTTTATTATGAGGATAGTTCATGATATACCGGTGTGCACTTCAAAATTACTTATTAGATCCAGGGTCATGGATTTATTATCTCTGAGGTAAAGACTATAAAAAAAGAGGCCCCAATTGAATATATCTATAGCTAATATTATTTCAAAGTTTAAAAACAGTTTGATGAAAATGGATATAATGATAGTGACCTGTGGTCAAGAGGGAGAAAACTCATTTCTATCATCGAGCTAGTTTAATGTATTGATAGCTTATAATTTACGCAATGTGCTTGTATGCTATTGATTTCAAACATACATGAGTTGTGTCTTTATTTGCATACTCTGCCATATGCCAGGAGCAGGAAAAGTTGCTCTTCATGTAACATACCTCATAGGCCCCAATTCCCAAGGAAGGAAAATATGAACTATTTTTTTATCCTAAGGCAGGGTCTCCTATATAAGCTCATCAATTAAAAACCTAGTCTTATAGTTTAATTCTTTAAATAAAATAAAAATGAAACAAAAGCAAATTTTAAGTGTTACATAGATAAATATATTTTGATAATTTTCTTATTGAATTGGAAATAGCTATCATTTACTGAGCATTCAAACAGTATATTAAGGAATTTAAAAGCAACTTTTAATCAGAAAGCCTTGTAGTTTATTTTCTTTAATAGGTTAAAATTTAAGCATGAATAATTAACCCTGAGATTGTATAGATATCCTTTATAAATAACTGTAGTAACTTTATAATTATTTTAGACCCTAAGTTAAGATTTATAATGAATAGATAATAAATGTCAGATATTTTATACTAGGATTTTTATTGAATTTTTGGTTGGATTTTTTATGATTTTTTATTTACCAATCTTGTAAATTCCTCATATACTAAAGCTTTTTTTTTTGCCTGTGTAGTATTGAGATAATAAAATATTCAGTATTCTAAACCTGGTATCCAGAATATTTAAAAGCTCCTTTGAAATTATCTCTTCTTACTTACCCATATGTAGGTGTCCCATAGACTAGCATATGGAAATAAATAGGCATAGTAGACATCACATATTCTATGTAAATAATCAATAAATTTCACTTACCTCTCATACCTATGGACTCATTCTATTATTACAATATTTATGGATTATTTTTTGAAAATTTCTTTGCATAGATTACCACCTGGAATTTTATGGTACTGATATTATCAAATTATTTTTCTTTCAACTTTTTATTAACTTAACAAAAAGTTATAGGTCCCAGGCGCTAAGGCTGTGCGTATGGTAGTTTTGGGATGCAGATGGTTTTCTGCCTATCCCACATTTTAAATTGCAAGTAGATGCCACAAGTTGCATACTGTTCAAAATACAGCATATCCAAATAATTGATTCTATGCCAGCACATTAAGTTTACTGTGCATGGGAGAAGAGCACCTCTGAAATCAGAATGTTAATTAGGGAGGGCTGTATTAATAAACCCTGCTGATAACATTTTACTATTCTTCCAAAATAATTTGTATGTACATATAAATCTGGATGGGCTTATGAGCACAAAATATACTAAGGAATTTTAAAGCAACTTTTAATCAGAAAGCCTTACATTCTTATGATTTTATACATATATAGATGCTTTTTATTATAGATATGATTTATAAATGTATATTGTTAACTGTTTTACCAATATATAGTCAGTATTTACTTAAGAATCTGACTATATATACATATATAGACAATCTCATTTCAAGATAAATTTTGTAATATTTCTACTTCTTTTTAAAAAATATATTTTATTGATTTTGTACAGAGAGGAAGGGAGAGAGATAGAGTTAGAAACATCGATGAGAGAGAGTCATCAATCAGCTGCCTCTTGCATACCACCTACTGGGGATATGCCTACAACCAACATATAATACATGCCCTTGACCGGAATCGAACCCGGGACCTTTCAGTTCCTAAGCTGACACTGTATCCATTGAGCCAAACCGGTTTCAGCTATTTCTACTTCTTGAAGGAGAGAGAGAGAGAAAGAAAGAGAGAGAGAGATCAGAGAAACATCGATGTGAGAGAAAAACATCAATTGGTTGCCTCTCTTATAGGCCCCAACCAGAGATTGAACCTGCAACCTGGTTATGTGCCCTGAATGGGAATCGAACCGACAACCTTTTGGTGTGTGGGATGATGCATCAACCAACTGAGCCCCCTGGCCAGGGCTATATGGTTTTCAGCTATGCAATGCATTAAATAAGTTGGTGTTAGTTTACATTTTTCATGTTAGATATTTGAGAAGTTTGACATTTATATTAAGGAGTATATTTTAAAATGTCAGACACAAAATTATCCATTGTTATTATCAAATTTAATGTGTAGTTCTAGAGCAAAAATTTATAATTCAATATAGTTTTTTCATATAAAAAATAAACCTAGAAAGTTTTGATTATATGACTTTTAGCATCCCTGGCTTGGTATCTCAGTTGCTCAGAATATCATCCTGATAGGCCAGCATTGCTGGTTTGATTCCTGGTCAGGTCATAAAGAAGAATTAACCAGTGAAATGCATGAATGCATAAATAAGTGGAAAACAAATTGATGTCTCTCTCTCTCTCTCTCTCTCTCTCTCTCTCAGTGTGTGTGTGTCTCAAATCAATAAAAATTTTAAAGTATTCTGAACCACAAAGGTATGACATGTATGTATTAAATGAACAAATGTAATGAACATTCTTTAATGATCAGTTCTTCCTAAAATCCTTTTTAACATAATGAAATAATTACAAATCTAATTATTGTATGTTTTAGGCTAAGATGACTCAACTGCCTGAGGCAGAGAAAGAAAAGATTGCTGAGCAAGTTGCTGATTTCAAGAAAGTAAAGAGTAAGCTGGATGCTGAGATTGAAATATGGGATGATACAAGCAATGATATTATTGTTCTGGCCAAGAAGATGTGTATGATCATGATGGAGATGACAGACTTCACTAGGTAATTACGTAGGAAATGATGTTTGAAATATTTGTCACATTAGCAAAACCTCAGTATTCTTTGAGTGTCAGGTGCTAAAATACAAGTGGTAGGGAAAAATCAAATAATATACAATTATAAAGTTGTAGGAGTATCATTCTAGAGATGTTGGTAAATATGGCATTTTCTTATAAACTGTCAATGAATAATTTTAGAATCCACTTCATACTCTCCTACATTAAGAATCTTGTCTGTGTATCATATGAGCATAATGCTTTTACAAAGAAATTGGTAAATCAAATTATGATCTGTCAGAGCTATCTGAATAGCTGATTTCCATAGCTACATAATTTTAGTTATATTGAGTTATAAATAATCAAAATTAGTGAAACATTTTGCTACAGAAACAGCAACTAGATATATTTGAATACAATAACAATGATATACTTAAGGCATTATAGATTGTGTTTAAGAATGTGATAAAAATAGATCTGCAGCAGAAATCAAGGGATAAGAAAACTGAAACTACCAGAATCTAAATCTTCATATATCTATATCTATATCTATATCTATATCTATATCTATATCTATATCTATATCTATATCTATATCTATATCTATATCTATATCTATATCTATATCATCTATATCTGTATCTATATCTCTCTGGACATAACTGGGTTCAGACTGGGAAAGAAGGGAAATGAGGTCAGGACGATGGAAAGGTACAGATATGTCACCAGCAGGTGGTGCGGATACAGATTTCAGTAAAGTTTTTCTTGCTCTAAATCTTTCTCCTCCCAAAGGAATGAATGTTTTTTGGAAACAGGTGATGAAATGATTTGGAAAGGAGGCTCAGTGATGTCGAGGATGTCATAAGCTGTAACTGGGGTGTTAGAAGAGGATTCACAACCCTGAAAAGTGAAATCTTATTGGAAAATAGACACATTTCATGTTTTGCAAAGTTAAACAGCCCAACATCCTCACAATCTATAGGTGTCAGTGCCAAAGGCGTCCACAGAACAGGAATGTTGTTGTCCAAACAGCAGCAAAATTGAATTTTGGACCTTGATAATCTTTTGTACTTGAACTAAATCCTGATTCCCTTTAAGTTCATGTAAATTGTGATAAATTTTCAATTGTTTTAAAATGAATGATTTTTTTATTTACTTTTTTATTCCCAGTTCTTTTCAAGAGTTTTTTAAGTCACTACAATGTTTTTCTGATGACTAACTTTAGCTGTTTTATATTAGTACATGTATTTTACCTTGTTTGTAAAGGGCCTTGTGAGAATAGGGTCATAGCTGGCCCTGCAGTATTCATCAGCAAGTAGTCAACCACTGTAGTACACTCTCTGTCCCTCCCTTATAGAGATTTTAAATAGCTATAAATTTTAAAAAAGAATAAATAGTAAATTATATTTTCCAGTGTGTCACTAAATGCTTCAGTGCCTGGTATTTTCTAGAAATCAGGCTGAAGGATTTAAGACTTGCTGGGGGTCCCTTTGTTTGCCCTCGCCTTTTGCATACCTTCCCTAGACATGGGATTGTGTCCTCAAAAGCTGTTCTCTCACCTTTCTTTTCTAAGATACAATTCTGAGCGATGGACTAGAAAATGAGTAGAGGGAGGGGTAGAAGCTCACCTTGCCTCTGGTCAGAGAGGGCTTCAGAATTAAAGCCCTTCGCTGAAACCGGTTTGGCTCAGTGGATAGAGCTTCAGTCTGTGGACTGAAAGGTCTCAGATTCGATTCTGGTCAAGGGCATGTACATTGGTTGCAGGCACATCTCCGGTAGGGGGTGTGCAGAAGTCAGCTGGTCGATGTTTCTCTCTCATTGACGTTTCTAACTCTCTATCCCTCTCCCTTCCTCTTTGTGGAAAATCAATAAAATAAAATAAAAAAGAATTAAAGCCCTTCGGGAGTAAAAATTCCTATGTTCTCTGAGTCACATTCTCTTGTTCCTTAATTATGAAATCTCTTTGCTCATGGCTTGTTTTACTTTTTTTTTTTTTTTTTTTTTTAGTGAAATGTTTATATTCTAATATAATGTGTTAACAACAATGGCCATTTAAATGGCTTAGTTCACCCAGCCAAGAGAATAATAAATATTGAACAGTTTCTTTTTCTTTTTTTTAAATTTTGCCCTAGTGGTTAAAAAACAGTCACTGGAGGAAATTTGTATTTTGACATTTGCAGTTACGGTCAGGGTTTAATTAATTTTCATTGTGAACTTTCTTTAAAATAAATAACCTTTCCTTGCTGCGCTCTGTAGAATGTTAGCCTTCTGTGCTGGGGGAATGGAGCAAGGTTCTGTCATGCCAGAGCATGTGGTGTTCACACAGGGGCTTTTTAAAGTCTTACTCAGCTCTGTGTCCTTCTACTTTACTGTCCCCAAACAGAATAAATCATTAATCCAATAAATAAAAAAGCAACCTTATATCTTACGATTTAAGCTATTAAAGACAGATACATTTAATTTTTGTTTTACTTCATAAAGCTATGGATTCTGTTTCTCATTTATATTAAATATACACATAAATATCTAGAAAGATGATTGAAAATATAAAAAAGAAGGTATGTGGATCATTTAAGATTTTGAAAAAAAAACATGTCTGGCTACTCAATTTTAGCTTTCAGAAGGCATTCATTTTATATTGGAAATAAATACAATACCAGGAAGAAGAATTAGTTTTCTGTGCATTACCACAATGGCTTTGTTTTTCTTCTTGGACTGTGTGTTGGGGTTCTTATAAGTTCTTATTGCCTCTCCCATGAATATTCTCTCTGTAAGGAATCCGCTTGTTTATGTTGTGAGAGTTTTGAATCACTGGGAACAATTATTCAGCACTGCTTTAATATAAAGGAGAATAATTTTGTCTGCCAATCATTCTGATGTGGTGAGTGATTGGTAAAAATTATTTACTTCTTAGTATTTTTTTTTTGTGTGAAACTGAGAGTGAGAGCACAGACCCTCTTTCCTGCAATCTAGCTCTTTAATATCTGTAGTGAATGTAGGAGAGAATTGAGTGAAAAGGCTTTGCCAATTTCCAAGTGGCAAACAGTTCTGTACTGTGTGACTCTGCATATTTCAGGTGGACAGAATTAAAATTTGCATTTCCTTAGTGCACAGGAGACTAAACTATTAGAAAGATAAGAATAAACAGACACCCCACCCCAAATGAGAACATACAGAGGCTATGGCATTAGCTACCATCATTTGCTTTTGGAGGAGACTCAAAGGCAGACAGGGAAGAGGAAATGCTTCCAAATTTGAGGGGGGACGTGGAATGAAAATGAAGACTTCAGGAATCTTGGATTGGAGTTTGTGGACACAGGAAAGATGCAGGTGGGCTAACAAGAAGCAGGGCATCTAATGTGATTGGTTTGGGAAACATTTTCTGCTTTCTCTGATTGTTGCTGAATTTAATGTAGGTATACAGCTGCTGTTGTCCAAGTTCTGGCAATTCCGGGCCAGTTGCTACAGAAACTGTGGTTTCATTCCTGAAGGTAGTTGCTACAGAAGTTGTGGGTCAAAGTTCTACTGTCATATTTATGCTGGCTATTGTCCATTTGCATATCCAGTCTCTCAAAAATATAACTGATGATCACTTTTTTTGAATAGTAATGGATCCATTATTGTATAAACAATATTTATTTTTATACTTAAAAACAAATATTCATATGGGGAAAAAAGCTATCTGTGAAAACCTATACCCTAAACCAATAGTCCAATGAATTTAAAATTTAAATGAAATGTCTTAAAAGATAGACCCTTATGAATATAAGTAATTTTATTAATCTCAAGAACCTTTAATTAGTGCAATTTATTTTCTCTTCTACAGTACTTTGTTGAATGTATTCTAAAAAATTTTCCCCATTTGATATCTTAAATTTCCACCTTGTGTCTCTCTCATTTCCAAAAATTTTATTGTCTTATCTTTAATCTCATCATATTCTCTTATCTCAGATCCTTTCATATCCCCGAACTCCCCCATTTATTTAGTCATTTCATTCTGCCTTTCTTTTCTTACAAGTCTGTACCACTTAGCCTATACTATAAGAAACCACTCATAAAAATCTTGATCTCTTTGTCTCTCAAAACCATTGACACATAGAATTAAAACCCTGCCTCAATCCAACCACAGCCACGTTCTGCCCTTCGCTTGCACTTCAGATTGTGAATTTCACTCATTCTTTTCTTGTCATCAGGTGTGTGTTTATACCAAGCCTTATTATGGGAAGTGAACCTCAGAAAGAGACTTAATTCTTGCTACTCGTGAATATAGTTGCTTAAGTCGTGTTCAATCTAGGGTAGGGTGGTTCTCTCTCTAGACAAAATTCTCTCTTACTTTTTCTAGGTCTTTGGGTTCTACTACACACTCTACCTTGATTACAGATATTTGCCTCCTATCTGTTCCACCCTTCATGTGGAATAAGTGCCCACCTTGAAGGCCATCTTTGATATTCACCTTGTATAGTCACATCCCTTGATTGCGGTGAGAATTGATCTCAGTACCCTACTATGGCTATCACAGAGTCATTAGCCAGTTCCTTTCTGCTTGGTTTGCCAAAATAGTCACTGGTCAGTTGGGTGCAACTATATAGATATTAATTATCATTATCACTGTAGTTATCATAATACTTAAAACATTAGGTTGCCTTCCTTGGCTCATAATGGCAGAGTGACTGGTGATTTTACATTCTTCATGGAAGCTTATTCTCTGCTTTCAAATGTTTGTTTACTTTGTTATACTCCATTTTTACTGTAAACATTAGATTTATATCACAAATGCTAATTCATGTAAATTTTATTGCATTTAAGTATTTTCATCTATGACAAAAGAAATATATAAAAGAAAGAATTATCACAATTCCATTATTGTGGAGGCCTACATACCCAGAGTTTTATTTATTAGAATTATATATTCTTGGCAATTAAATGTTTTAGAAGGGAGAACTGAACTCTAAGTCTTCCTTAAAAAAATCCCCTGTGCTACAAAATCCCATCATCATCTGCAAAGAA